GGGCGGCAGGTCTGGGTGGAGCTGAGGACCAAAGGTGGGCATCATGCTTACATTCCCCACACTGTTGTTTAATAAATATTAAGGGGTACCAGGCCGGGGGTATGGGCAGAGGTCATTTCTTCTGGAGCTACTTCCTGCTGTAAAGGGGCAAAGTAGTCAGGAGTCCCTGTTTCATTGCTCAGCCGAGTACCATCCAAGAAGCAGCTGCTTGACAGTGGTTGGTAAAGGTCCTCCTTTTCCATGACAAGCGTTCTCTAAAATTCAAGACAATGGATGAAAAGCAAAATTGCTGTTAGAAGCCCAAGAGAGGAATATGCCATGGAAAGATAGGCCCTTTAGGCTCCATCCTGCTTGCCTGGAAGCACCAAAGAATCCCTGGAGCTGGGGTTTTTAGGGTCTGTGCTGGGCCAGGCAGGGCAGTGTAAGTGATGTCTCTGGTTGCATATAGGAGCAGGGTGGCCTTGACTTGTTCCCAGGTGGTCTCCTGGGCAGGGGATGTTATCCTGTTGAAAGAGACTTTTGGAAAGATCAGGCAAAAAGCTGACATGGTGACAAGGTCAGTTAACATGAATGACAGGAGAGCACACATTGGCCATGAGCCAGAAAAGTTCCATTTGGAGTTTAAGCCCAGTTGCAGCCCAATACAGGGAAGGAGAATAACTGGACTCGGGGGCAAGGAAGGCAGGAAGGGGGTGTCTAGGGTCTTTTGAGTAACTGGGTAGGGGAGAGCATAATGGACTGGTTGGGAGTACCAATAGAGGCTATATAAATACAAATCGCAGGTAACAAAGAAAGACTCTAACTTTCTGTCCAATTAGAAGGTAGTCAGGTCTGGACATTAGGTGGGCAAGCAAAACTGTTTCTCTTGATCTCGCAGCTCTTTTTAAAGGGCGAGCGTAGAGTGACTCCATTTAGGATGTCATCTCCTCTTACTCCTCTCCGTGGTTTTCCATTGTCAGGACTGACTCTGGCCTAGTGGGTAGCTCAGCGTCCAATGCCCAATTGACATTTATGGTTTGGACTCAAGGCCTGGG